GCAGCCCCAGACATGCACGGTAGGGCACGTACGGGCAAGTAGGAATTTTTGCGGAAAAAGTGCTCAATGAAAAGCAAGATCATTTTCAGTGGTGAACGATCACTCATACGGTTAACTACCTGACTGCATCAAATTTTTTGCAAAAACGCATGATCGCACCGGCAAGCCAAGTGCGTTCCGGCCTGAGTTTTTATTGTAGTTGATCCAAATGCATATTCATACTGTGTCTCCACAGTCCACATAAAGTTACGCTTTGCTGAAACGGGCTATTGAAAAAATTTATGAAACGAAAATGGCGCAGTTCCGTTTAGATGTCCTCTGGTATTAGCGACAAAGATGTTGCGGATGTGCTTAATGCAATCGATGGGGTCGGGAATTCTACAATGCAGCCACATCGAGTTGCAAAGCCTGTGCCACTCTCGTCGCTGGCTATCATTAACGATCCTCAGTGCAATAACAGCGACCTAAAGTCTATACTTCAAGAGGTATGCAATTTACACTTTTTGAGAACTTGTTAATCAGTTTAAAAATTCTTAACAAAGTGATTTTGTTAGGATTCTTTGCAGTCGTAGTGGCGTACACAATACTCTACCCAAATGCGATCTAAAGATTTTAGATGCAGCTTTGAGATACTTCTAAGCTTTGCATGCGAACAAGATAAAACTCAAGTTGAGCTATTTTTGGCGTCCTTTCAACTCGGGAACCAGACATATTGAAAGTTTTATTTTAAGAGTGTGTTTGCTGTCCACTTGCGGGTTCATAAGCTTAAAAAGAGCTTTCACTTACTCTTGTGCCTCGCTTTCGAACACTCCAAATGTTCAGTCGGTAAAGCAGCTTCCAACACGAGTGCATTGAACACTCTTACAGCTCAAAATTTTATTGCTGTATAAAACTACGCAGCAGCATGTGTCCGCTTGACGAGCCTAGTGTGCGCTGCTAATTACTATTTCAAAAGTCCATTTTTATGCGCCTTTTACATCAATGCAATGCAATGCAAAACCGCATATTGTAAAGGGGTATGCTGCGTATATATATATGTATATATATACATATATATATATATATGTATATATATATATGCGTGTATCTGTCCGCATATTTCGATCTCGAGGCCTACGAAAAGTATAAAGCTGAAACTTTGGAAACTTCGTCCACATCAGTTTTGCGAGATCTTAGGCATAGTGGACGTTCACGTCTTCCTGGTTCTCACGTACGAACATGTAAACTATTTCTGGCTGGAAAGCAATGTCGGGAATGAGTCAGGCTAAACTTCGCAAGGATGTTCTTTGCCCACGTGTGGCCGAAAAAATTTAAATTCAATCTTCACACACACTCAGGTGTCGCATGCACACATGTTACAGCTCACATTAGCATCATGTCAGTGAGAATTAGACTGAGCAGAAAGTTGTAATAGGCCGTCATTTTAAGGTGCTGCTTACGTCCACTGACGTGACTGTGATGCGCTTATCTCGCCTCTCTGCATTTCATGTACGGGCACTTAAAATTTGATACGCACAATTTGTAATTCCGGAGCTAAAACAGCTGGACGGATGAAATTTCCTAAGCATGGCCCACAAATATATTCTAGCAGCTGTACTTATAAACAATTTTAATGTCCCTTCACACAGAACAAGTGAAATTTGACGTAACTCTGCAAACGAACTAGCTAGAGTGCTGAATTTTTATGAACATGGACCACGACCATATTTACTGAAATCGCTCTAATAATCCTTCACAGCAAGTTGACCGGTCTCAATTCATTTAACTAGGGCAATTGCTAAAGCTCGGCTCAGCTTGGCAGCTGCACGATTTGCCAATTGACTTGCAGATCGTGTAGTGGAAGAGCGGAAGAAAGAGAAGGGGCAGAGAGTGAAAGGGGCAGAGAGTACGGGGAGGGGCGGGCGGCAGGGAGGAGAGAGGGACGGGAGAAGAGAGATGGCAAGGGAAACGGGGAGGGGGGGGGAAG